CTGACGCCCACACAGCCCCCACCACCTGCACCCCTTTTGTAACCCAAGTTAGAGTGCCATCCCAGCCAAACTGGCTCCCAGCCATGGTGCCTGCATCGTGGCCCCAGAGATCCGTGGGCAGGCTGCCAGGTCTGCCACTTCTTATGCGCAGCCCCACCCCGCTGGCACGTCGGTCCGTGGCAGCGCCGCCCCCCAACGCAGCGCCGTTGCCGCCGCCTTCCAAGCTCCCTTCGTTTGCATGCTAAGCCCAAAGATGCATGCATATGCATCCTCGCAGGCAAAGAGGGGGCCGCTAGAGGGGGAGCACCAGTGGGGATGGCGGCGGCATGCTGCCGCCATCTCGCCATGGCGCAGGTGCCCGCCATTGGCTGGTGGGGGGCTGTGGCCCGGAGGCCCAGCTCGCCCTCCCCAGCCCTCCCAGCCACTCTCCGGCCTCCGGGCTGTCCGGAGGTCCGCCAGCAACGCGGCAGGCGACGTAGCCCTGCTGCGACTGACCACAGCGGGCGCCGGCGCACAAAAGAGGGCGCCGCCGCCGCTGGCACCTCATTCTCGCACTCCTCGCCGCAGCTCTCCTTGCTGTTTGTGAGGACTCCCCCGGCAACCGCTTGTGCCCTGTGTGCCTCCTTGCCCACAGCCCTGCCTCCCACCAAGATGGCCACCTCCGCAACCCTCTCCCTCGCCTCGGCACGCCTGACCTCCCCCGCAGGTGAGTGCAAAAGTCTGCAGCGTGACGGGGAGCCCCGCACCTCGCCGCCTCCTCGCATGCTTGCAACGCGGCTGCCCATCTCATCGTGCACCCTTTGCCCCACCCCCTCCCTGTCACCTGCAGCCCACCTCAAGCTGCGGCTGATGTCGTGGAATGACGGGCAGGCGCTGCATGCCAAGGTGAGGCAGGGCTGTGTGTGGGCGGGCGGCCGGCGCCGCCGCCCGCCGCCGGTGCCAACCAACCCTGTGCCGCCAACCGCCAGCAGCGGACTGCCTGCTGCCAGGCTCTGGTCCTGCCTGTGACTGCCCCCTGGCCCTGACTTTTGAAGCTTGTCCTTGGCCCTTTTCGCCTTCCTGTCTACACCCTTTCTCACCGCTCTCCGCTCCTGCTGCTCCCTCCACCCCTGCAGGCAGCCCTTGCGGCCCCCTACTCCCGCACCTCCAGCTTCGAAATCCCCGCCCTGCAAGCTGGCCTGGCCGCCCTGGCCTCCCCGCAAGACATCTCTCTCTGGCCCTCCCTGTCTTCCGCCACCCCCGCCCCTGCCCGCGCACTTGCCGGCTGCTGGGCCACCCGCCAGCCCAGCATCCTGCCTACTCCCGCTCCCACCACCACCACCACCACCACTACCGCCGACTGCGGCTGCCAGGCAGACGCCGAGGACGTGTTGCCTCGCTACTTTACACCACCCCCGCCTGCGACGTCCCCGCCCCTGCTGCCGACATTCACCAGGCGGCGACCTGCGCCTACCTGCCGCCCGCCCGCCGCCTCGGAGCCTCACCCGCCTTCCTGGCCGGCCACGTCTATCCCACCTGGAGCATCGCCGACAACTGCCGCCAGCACCAGGCGCCCGCTGTGGAGGCACCAGCTGCCTACGTGCCGCCGCAGCGCCGCACTCCGGCTGAGCAGGCAGTGGCTGCCACAGCCGGCTGTCCCGGCCGCCCCTGCGCCTTCCCCGCGCTGACGGCGGGGCCGCTGCCCGAGGCGCCGGCACCCCTGCCTGCCGCTCCCATGTACCTGATGGCGCTGCAGGGGTGAGTGCAATGCCAGGGTGGACTGTGCTGCAGCTGAGCCTGCCTGTCTGCCTGCCTGCTGCCAAGTCTCTGTCTCTGAGCCTCGAGAAGCGTTCGCCGGCTGATGCGCACCGCCTGCCTCCCCTCCTCCTGCTGCAGGCTGCTGCCCCAGCCCTCCTGCCCTGCTATCTCCACCCCCGCTGAGGAACCTGAGGCTGCTGCCGAGCCCGCGTACACCACCACTCCAGCTCCTGCCCCTGAGGCACCCGCCGCCCCTGCCACTGCTACCGCCAAGCACCAGCGCCGCTCCTGGCCTGCGCCCCGCCCGATGGCGGCGGTTGTGATGGCCCTGTGCGGCCAGCGCAAGCAGCAGCAGAAGCCCTGCCGCCAGGCGTGCCACACCGTGCGTGCCCCCATGCTGGCCCACCAGCGGCAGCCCAAGACCGCCACCCGCCGCTGCCACCAGCACCAGACCCGCCCCCGCGCCTGCTGCTAGGCTCGCCCTCCTGTCAGGGCAGGGGCTGCCGCCGCCTGGGTGTGCATCCCACCCCCGCATCCTCCTGCTGCACCAAGCAGTGCTGCCGCTGCGCCAGGCGGCCCGCCAATGATTTTGCCCTGATTGGGTCTTACTTCAACGATGCCCTGCTATTCTATCCGTTTGTGTATGGTGCCTTCACCTTTCCAGCTGCTGCACCACAGCTGGGCCCGTAGCATTCATTTGCTCCTTATGGGTGTAACAGACAGACAGACAGACCTTTGAATTGTTTGGATTTACGCCAGTTCAATGATTGGCCTTCACTGGGCGGCAGGTGTTCTGGGTGGATGCCAGGGAAGAGAGACGGCGCCGCTTGTGCCAGTAGGCGGCTCGGCGGGACCGGCATGAGTGCAAGGAGCTGCGCGCATGAGCCTGCCAACGATGCACACGATGCCAGATGGTGCTCTGCATTAGTCCCGACTTGACTTCTCTGCAGCAGCTGCCCCCGGCCCGGCGGTAACGGAGGAAGCGCCTGGAAACAGGAGGGCCTGGCGCATTCCTGGCTGTGCAACACTCCCGCGAACAATCGCCTTGCTTGGATCGCCGCTCTCTGTCCCTGGGCTACTACGCTCAAGGTGGCTTTGCGGTCACACCCTCCACCAAACTCCCCGCATCCCTGCGAAAGAGCAGCAGCACCTGGCATTGGCGCCTGCAGGCGCAACAGCCCAACACCTTTGCTAAAGGTGCTTTCAAAGAGCTTGACTGCACCATCGGCGTCGCCAGGCAGGCTCCAGGCGCTCTGGCAGGCAGGGCGAGCCGGGCAGCGGGCGCGTCGCCCAAGGGGCCTATAGCCGCGGTACAGTCCACCGCCGCCGCCGACCGCTGCGCCTCCACCTCCTCCTGCTGGCGTGGCTGGCTGGTGAGTGGAGCCGAGCATCAATCTTTCTCTGCAGGGCAGGCTGCTTGCCTTACTCCCTGCGCCTGGATTGTGGACCTGCAGATGGCTAGTCCCACTGCCCGTTGCTGCCGCCGCTTGAAGCGCCTAGCGTGTTCTGGCGGGTGTTCTGGCTTTCTGCGGCAGAAGGGCTGCCAACCAGCCCTGGCAAGCGCTCCTGCAGGCATCGGGTGGATGAATGCAGCCGATGCCGCCCCGGCAGCTGCCTGCCTTCAGGCAGGCAGACAGGCAGCACAGCACAGACAGGCAGGCAGGCAGGTGCTGCCTGCAGGCAGCACGCGCCGGCGATCGCTGTCCGGGGCTTTGCACGGTGCCGACGGAGCAATCGTCGGCACTCACAGAAGCCAGCTGGGTCGCAAGCTGACTGCGACGTCAAGCAGACCGCCTCCTCCTCGCCCCAGGCCCAAGCCGCCGCCAAGGCCCAAGCCCAGGCCGCCGCCACCCAAGCCGCCGCCGCCAAGGCCCAAGCCGCCGCCAAGACCCAAGCCGCCAAGGTATGCAGAAGCAGGTTGCTGTCTATCGATCGATACCACGTGGCGCCAACACTGCAGGCGCGCGCACTGTGCCTTGCTGGCACATGTGCTGGACAGCTGCCGCGCGCTCTCGTTCCCGGCGTCGCGCCTGTTTTGGTTGGCAGGGAGCCGTTGCTGCAAGCTTTGTCTTTTATGGGTAGTGAAACCCACACAAGGAAGCAAGGGGGCTGTTGCGCTGCCCAGTCCTGACGCAATAACTTGTCGCGTGTGCTGTGTGCTCCACGCCCTGCAGCCCCAAGCCTCCGCCTCGCCCCAAGCCGCCCCCTCGGCCCAAGCCGCCTAACCCGCCGCCCAGTCCCAAGTGGGATCCGCAGTACCATGACGGTACCATGCATTCTGCATACATCTGCGTGGACAAGCGTAGCTATGGCTTGTATGGCAGCCACACGTCGCTGGCGGGAGCCATCCCAAGCACAAGCAGGCAGCAGGCACCAGCCTTCCACATGCACGCCGTCTGTAAACTCTGCTGCCCTTCTGCTGCCTTCTTTGCCACAGACCCCCACGCCCGCCGCCATCTCCTCGGCCCCGCCCGCCACCTTCTCCCCGGCCGCCATCCCCGCCCCCGCCCAAGCCACGCCCTCCGTCTCCACTCCCGCCAAAGCCCCCCAAGGGAGAGGCCTCTCCCTCTCCCTCGCCTCCACCACCCTCGCCGTCGCCCCCCAGCCCACCACCTCCCTCCCCGCCGCCTCCCAGCCCTCCGCCTCCCTCCCCGCCGCTGCTCGGCGGCGGCTGCACCTTCAGCCTGCGCCCCGAGCCCGGCGACACCACCTCCCTCGCCTCCCTAGTCAAGCACACCACCTGCGCCGACGGCACCGCCCGCTCGCTCATCCTCGACATCCCGCAAGGCCTCAACGGCGAGTGCGTCGGCAGCTCCCTCGCCCTCCTCTACTGGAACGACAGCGGGCTATGGGTGAACACCCGGAGCGCCTGCCCCGGGCTGGCCACGCGCATGAGCCTGCGCTCCTCGGGCGGCCTCTTCTACCTCCGCACCCGGGAGATTGGCTATGTGGGGCGTGCCGTGGACGTGACCCAGCCCATCTACCTCCGCTTCTACGACCCCGCCACCAACACGCACGTGCGCCTGGACTTTCCGGTGACCGCCAAGGGAGCGCAGGCCACGGTGGCGACCACCGGCGCCGCCGCCCGCTTTGTGTCACCAGACTTTGCCCGCCCCATGGAGCTGTTTGCCCTCGCCGACGAGGCGGAGATGGCGGCGGCGACCGCCGCGGCCGAAGACTTCTACATCTTCTTCACCCGCTTCTCGGAGGAGCTGCCGCCCCTGCCGTGATCCCGCTGGTCGCGAGGCGCCTGCCTGCCTGGTCCCTGCGGGGGAGACCAGGGGGCACCCCCGCGGGCAACCTGCCGCCGCGCTCCTACTAGTGTACTTCATTCTCTGCCATGACATGACGTGATTAGTTCTTGATTCAATGCTGTGTCAATTTTTTGTTAACTACAGAAATGAAATGTAGTACGCTGTCCTGATGCAGCCGCCGGCAGAACCGCCGGCGGCAGGCAGGACAGCGGGCAGCGGCCACACAACATTGTACACCGTCGCTGCAGCTGTAGCCACTACATCCCCAGCGACCGCCTGTGATCGACCTTTACTGTGAACGAAAGGACGGGAGGGGAAAGTGAAGTACTGTCTGGCAGCGGCGGCGCAGCCTTTCCTGCCTTTCTTCCTGCCCACGCAGCTCCAGAGGCGGGCTCCCAGCGTTTCTCTTGAGCACTGGCAGAAACCCACCGGGTCTCTGTGTGGCTGTGCAGCAACCTCTCTCACTCCAGAGACCCATGGCCGCCCCTTGGCAGCTGCCTCTGCTCCTAGGCTGCTGCCTGCTGGCAGGCGTGCAGCCAGAGGGGGCCGTGGCTGTGGCAGAGGGCGGCGCCGCAGGCCGCCGCCTGCAGCAGGCGGCGCCAGCGGCAGAGGAGGGTAAGCCTTGCCAGGGCAGCCGTCCAGCTGGGCAACCCTGATATACAGGCGGCAGCAGTGCAGCGGCGCTCAGCAGGCTGAAGAACAACCCAGCTGAAGCCCGCCCGGCCTCGCCCGCCCTTCCGCCCGCAGTTGCCGCTCCGGATGCCGTGGACGGCGCCCCCGCCGCCGAGGGCTCCTGCCAGGCAGCCCTCAACTACTCTTCTGTCTTCATGCCGCCCTCGGCCCAGCTCCAGTTCAGGCTGTTTGGTGACTGGGCCCCGTGGCATGCCTTCTGACCGGCCGGCAGCATGGGAAGGCAGGGCGGCGTTCGCAGCAGGCACCGCTGGCAGCAGCACTAGGGCATTCCTGCCTCCTTTCAAATGCTGCCCCGCCCTGCGGCCCCGTGCAGTGAATGGCACCCGCAACTACACATGCTCCACCTTCACCCTCCAGTTTGGGCCCGCCATGGCGCTGAGCAAGGCCACCGGAGACTTTGCCTGTGAGCAGCCACAGCCTGGAGGCAGCTGCCTGATTGGTTGGCGCCGCGCCATGGCCAGGCAGGAACCGGCTGCGTGCCCATGCAAGGCGCCACTTCCTGTCGCTGACATTTTGCAGGCGTGGGATACTATGCGTCTCCTTTTGTCGGCTACATCGACTGCTCCGACCTCGCAACAGGGCAGCCCGTGGGCAAGGTCACCCTGGACACCACAGTCCCCGGCGCAGGTGGGCGCAGGCCTGCCTGTCGCCAGCCTGGCAGCGCCAGCACCACAGCGGCGCGGGGCACCTGTCAGAGGCTGGCAACTGGTTGAGCAGCATGAAGCATGGAAGCCTGCCGGCGCTGGCCAGGCGGGGCCACCCCCAGCTGAGTGGACGCCCCTATCCTCCTGGCTCCTTCACCCTGCCACCCGCAGTGTTTGTGGCACCGGGGCCAGACGGCGCCAGCGAGCCCTGGGGAAGGTTCAAGGTGACTACAGACGGCGCCCTGCCGCCAGCCAACTACGTGGTGCGGTATAACACGACCGGCGGGGTGAGGAATGCACCCAGTGTTGCTTCGCACCGCGGCGGCGGCCGTGCTCAGGGCTCTGGCGGCATGGTGTGAGCCCCGCCGCCGCCCCCAACGTGTCCCCCGCCTCTGCGTGCGTGCAGGGAAGGCCGGCGCAGTGCGCGGCGCCGCGAGGGGAGTGGGTGCTGGTGCCCTTCACGAACGCAATGGATTACTATTGGTGCCCCTGAGCTTGTGGGCTCCTGCGCCTGCGGCCTCCCGCTGCCGCTGCCCCGTGGCAGGGGAGGCCAGGAGGCACACGCTGCACTGCCAGTGGCGGCGAGCCTCGTTTTTTCCCGTTGACGACTGCTATTCTGTGACTTGTAAATCACCCTGGGTTGAGAGCCCCGTCGGGCTGATAGGCGTTTATCACGGTCCAAGGGACTCAAACCCTGAGGCTTCCTCCTGGCTGCAGCTCCCCAGCCTCTCCGTCTGCACACGTTTCCCAGAGCAGGCCTTGACCTCGACCACGCCGACCAGCTCGGAGGTCAGCCCGCCTGTGCTCGCCACCAGATCCTTGCGCGTGCACCTGGCTGGCTGTGTTGGCCAGCAGGCCGCACCTGCAGTTGGTAAATGTGGAGGGCGCACCGCCGCCCGGTCCGGTGGCGGCGGCGGCGGCGGCGGCCGTGGCGGCCGCGGCGGCAGCCCTGAACCCTCTGCTACTGCTCACTCCCGCCGTCAGCTGCTCGCCCTCTGCAGATTGGCACGCGTCTTCAGAGCCACACGGATTGACTCGCCGGCACAGCGCCGCCGCCGCCGCCGCCCAGATGCAGCAGGCCAGCTACTTCCCCGTCACTCCCAGCCCCACCCAGCCCGGCCCCTCCCAGGTGGCGGGCGGCCTTGGCGGCACCCAGTTCATGCCGGAGGCCAGCCAGCAGGCCCGGCAGCAGCGGCCTGGGTGAGTCGACTGCCGCCTGCTGCCGGCAGCGCTGCCGGAACGCCTCAGCCACACGCGCGGCCGTGCAGGCAGCTCGCATGCTGCCCAACGGTTCCTCCGCCACAGCTCAACCGCTGCTCGAGCTGGCTGCAGGTGGGGCGGTCCCAGGGATGGCGGCTTCCTCATCGCCAGCAGCAGCCAGGCACCTAAGCCTGAGGTGAGCGCCTGTGTGGCCAGCCCAGGTACGCCACCAGCTGGCCGCCGCCTGCCTCGACACGCCCGTGCTTGCGCTTGAGCGCAGCTCTGGTCCCCGCAGCAGAGCTCATCTGCATGCCCCTGTGCGCCGCCGGCTCCCCTGCCGCCGCCTGCCATGCTGCCTGCCCTGTCCTGCCTCGCCCCGCGCCTGCAGAGCGAGCGGCAGGCCAAGGTGGTGCGTTCTGTGACCGTCGGGCAGCTGCACAACGCGCACCAGGCCTGCGGCAGCGCCGCACTCTGGCTGGACGGCCACGACTTCACCGACCCGTTCAGCGCCGGGGCGGTGAGTGTGTGTGGCCGGGGCGGTGAGCGTGCGTGGCGTGGCCCCTTTGTCTGACAGGAGCCTAGAGAAACCTGAAGGCTGCCCTGTGACGCGCGGAGGGAGGCCCTTCCCTCTGCGCAGCGCTGCTGCCAGCCGGGCTGTGCCATGCTGCTGGGCAGCTGCGCCTGCCGCATGCGCGGCCCCAGCTGGCAGCTGCTGCTGGTGGCCTGCCTGGGCGTGGTCGTGGCGTTGGTGGTGCAAAGGTGCTGTGCTGGCTTTCATGCCCTGCCCGGGCCGCCCCTGCGTCCCTGCCCGGCAGGTGGAGGTGGTGGGCAAGCTGGTGCGGGTGAGGATGCGGGTGAGCGTGCTGGACGTCACTCTGGAAGACGGCACCGGCAGGATCACCGCCAAGCGCTGGGAGAGCGGGAGTGCGCTGCCGCCACTGCTCTTTGCCCCGGGCTGCCTGCATCCGTAGTGGGGGCGCCGCGCCGCGTGGCTGCCGCGCCTGGTCTCACAATCGCCAATCGGTGGCGCGGTTTCTCTGTGCACACCGGGGAGCGCCAGACCCAGGCCTGCCTGTGCCCTCCTCCCGCTGCAGCGGCCCTGGACGAGCCTGCCGGCTGGGAGGTGGGCGCCTACTACCGCCTCGGCCTCACCTTCAACTTTGTCCCGGAGCTGAGCCCGCTGGTGGCAGCGGCGTGGAAGGTCGCTGATCACAACGAGGCGAGCGCCAGGCCTATGTTATTTTTCCTGGGTTGTTTTTGTTTTTTCTTATTCTTTTGAAGCTGCCTGCTCCTCTGCTTCACAACACAAGAATCGCCTGCCTGCCTGCCTGCTCCTCCTGCCTGCCCGCCTGCCTATGTTTCTTCAGCATGCCTGTCGCCATCCTTCCTGCCCTCCCGCCTCTCGCATGGGTGGAGGCCCCTGTTCACACAAGATCGCACGCACACACTGCCGCCCCCGTGCCGAGCAGGTGACCACCCACTTCCTGCGCGCCATCTTCGAGCACCTGCACCTGGCGGTGCGCCAGCAGGCGGCCGACAGGGCGGCGGCCGAGCGGCAGCAGGAGCAGGCAGCCGCTGAGCAGTACCAGCGGTACCAGAAGGCGTTGGAGGAGCAGGGGCCATACGCGGAGCAGGGATACTATACGCAGCCGGCGCCGGGCCAGGCGCCGCCGCACACGCCGGCCACCCAGCCGACGCAGCCGTGGCGCAGCCCCGCCGACGCGGCCAGGCAGGCACGGGATCGCCAGATAGCCATGAAGTTTGTTTAGCTGGCAGGCGTGGAGTCGGCTGTCGGCCGGGTTGCTTTGGGGTTGTTTAGCTCATTTGTTGCTTGTGTAGAGGCAAAGGATCATGTGTGAAAAAACAAATGGTGGCCAGGCTACTTGTGCTCAGCGAGAAGCGCATCCTTGAAGTGCAGCACAGGCAGGGAGGCTAGGAGGCACACTGATGGGCTGCCACACACCCAGAACAGCGCCCTCAGCGCGGCAGGCGGGCGCCCCGTGCCGCTGCCGCAAGGCTGCGCTTGGCTCCAGGCTTGTGCGTGGCTATGCGCTTGTCCTCGCCTGGAGCCACATTCTCTGCATCCTGCCCTGCCAGAGCGCGCGCCCCGAGCAGCCGCTTGCCTGCCAGCTGCTCCGTGGCGCGCGGTGCGGGCTGCTGCTGGTTGGGGCGCTGCTGCTGCAGCCCCGCCGCCGCCGCCGGATCTGGGGGAGCCGGCAGGGCCCTGGGATGTGGCGCAGGCTGGGCAGAGCCCTCTACGGCTGCTGCGGTTGCGGTTGGCACCACCTCTGCTGATGCTGCTGCAAGCACCGCCTCCTCTGCCGCGGCCGGCTCCTCTGCCGCGGCCGCCTCTCCTGCGGCTGCCTTCTCCTCTGCTGCCTCCAGCACCTGCCGCAGCTTGGCTGCCTTGGCCTCCGCCGCATCCACAGCAGCCACGTCGAGGCGGGGCCGCTTGGTGCAGGTCAGGTCTGCGGCGCGAGCATGCCAGTGGCAGGGACTGTCGACGGCGCAGCGGCAACCTCGGCAGCTTGGCTGGAGGACCCAAGCGGTGCATGAGAACACAGGCACACGTGTGAATGCAGAGGCAGCGGCGGGTGAGCCTCGCAAGCGGCGGCAGGCCGCAGCCTCGCAAGCGGCGGCATGCCCCAGCCCCGCTCACAAAAGGTGCGCTTCTTGGCACCCTGAGCCTCCCAGGAACGCCATGAGAAGAAGCCGTGTGCCACAGGCCCCAGCAGCTGCAGCTCCCTGCGCCAAGCAAGGCCGGAAGGCCGCAAGGCCCGCACACCAGGCGCCGGCAGCCAGCAGTCGGCACACCGCGGGAAGCACACGGCGGGGACCGCTGCACGTGACCACATGCTGGATGCGAGACACATCAGCAGGAGCAGTGATGGCACAATGCCAGCAAGCAGCGGCGCCCACGCACCGCAGCGCCTGCTTGCGCTCCTTCTCGCTGCACCGCTCGCTCAGCTGGGTCTGGGCGGCGTCTCCCTGGTCATCCACAGGGCGCAGCATGAAGGCCTGTGGGGCAGGTGGAGAAAGGGCAGCGGGCGGCGGAGCCGGCGGATATGTGGGGAGCGCAGAACACACGGCAGCAGCGGCTGAGGTGCGGGCCACCATGCATTCCCGCCAGCCTGGCCTAGGCTGGGCGTTGGCTGAGCCCTGGGCGCTCACCCTGAACCGCGCCAGCACGCCTTGAGCAGCCCAGCCAGCCAGGTGGCGCGTGGCGCGAGGCGGCAGGCTCCAGTCCTGATGGCTGGAAGCCGCCAGCTCCTCAGCCGCGCGCAGCTCCCTCTCCAGCGGCGGCCTGAGGCCCGGAAACAGCCGGCACAGCTCTGCGGGCGCACCAGATCCAGGCGTGTGGGTGGAGGGGGCAGGAGAGCGGAGCGATGAAGCCAGGAGGGCACCCGCGGCATGCCGCAAGGAACCACTGCTGCTGCTGCTGCCAGCAGCGGCCACAATGAGGCACAACAGAGCGGGGCACTGCCCCGCCAGGGGACGCCACGGCTGGAGTGGCCGGCAGGCCCGGTGTGCCTGCTCACCTGTGGCTCTTTCCAGCTGCCCGGTCTCCAACAGGCCCAGCACCTCCCGTACCGCGGGCGGCGCCTGCGGCAGCGCCGCTAGCGCCGCCTCATTGCCGCCGCCCATCTCCTACCTACCTGCTGCCTGGCTGCCCAGCCTGAAAACAGCAAAGTGGGGCCCTGGGGTTGGCAGCAAATGTGGTGGAGGCCTGTGGACAGGCACCCCACCTGAGCCAGCCAGCCACCCCACAGTTCAACCCTGATAACCCCGTGCTCTTCCAAGCAAGCAGGAGGCGTGCACAGCAGGCCCCAAGACCAAGACTTGAGACTCGCCAGCAGCGGGTGGTGGTCGCGATCACTGTCGCCGCGGTAAAAAACGCCAGACTGAACGAGGGGATGAGATCGCGCCGCCTGGCTCCAGCTGCCCCCACCTGCTTCGCTTTGGATCCAATTGGAGTTTGCCACGTCAGCTCAGCATGCATACCATATTGCAGACAGTGTTGCTCATCACGAGGGAAGAGGGGAGTATCAGTCCCTTTTAATCATCGATTGCCGGGATTGGCAGGCTGGCCAGCCGCGCCGCACACGCTTGTGCCACGTTATCGCCGCTGCCGCTACACCACCCCAACAGTGGCCCACATTGATAGGGACAGACGTTCACATGTCATGGGGCCTTGCCAGCAATCTGTACTCAGCAGCTGCGCAACGTGACAGAACAAAGTCAGCTGTCCTCTCTGCCGTCATCGCTGCCGTACCCGCCCAACAGACCCGCCAGCCCCGGCCCCTCGCTGCCGCTGCCGCTCTGCTGCTGCTGCTCCGCCTCCGCCGCCGTCCGCTGCCGCTTGCTGGCCGGCTCTCCGCCACCGCCTGCCGCTGCGGGCTCCGCCTTTCCTTTGACCCTCACGATTGGGCGCACGATCGGCTTGATCGCCACCAGCGGCTGCTTCTTGTGCTGCGACGCCGGCCGCGCCGGCCGTGCCACGTCCTGCTGCGCCCTGCCTGCCGGCGCCGGCGCCGGGGCCGGCCCCGCGGCCGCCCCTGGCTGCTGATCGTCGCTGGCGCCCTCCTCGCCGCCCTCGCCCTGCTGTCGATGCTGCTGAGCGGCGTGGAAGGCTGCCAGCGCGTCCTCCTCCTCCTGCCGAGCCCGCCGCAGTGCCGCAGCCTCCCCCTCAGCCACACTGTCTAGGAACTCAAACTCATCCTCATCCAGCGGCCGGTTCTTGCCCTGCACGGGTTCAGCCAGCCGAGGGGGTGGGTCCTCAGGAGCAGGTTGTTGCGGACAGAGATGCGGTACGCGTGCAGCGCATGCTGCATCACACTCACGCTACACGCGGCGGGTCAACCCAGAGCAGCCCCGCCCTGCCTCCCCTCCCTCCCTCCCGCATGTCGCCCCGCCATGCCCTCCCACCCTCTCCTCCCTTTCTCCAGCACGCCCTCGCTACCCCGCCCGCCCCACCCACCCGCTTCATTGTCTTCCACTGCTCCTGGAAGGCCGCCTCCTTGGCCTCCTTGGCTTCCCGCAGGATCTCCGCCAGCGGCTTCTCTGGCGCGATGCTGCCATCCTCGACAGACAGACCCCGCTGGGTTTTTATCTCCTCCAGCTGCGGCAGGGGGCAGAGGACGGGGACAGCAGAGCAGGTGGGAGGACGGGCGAGCGCCGGGCACAGCCGGGGTGGGCGCAGCAGGCGAGGCACGGCAGCGCGCCGCGCATGCCTCCAGTGCCGGCCTCCCGAGGCGCTCTGCGCCCAGGCTGTGCCACGCCGATCGGTGCCTGCCCGCCATGCACCACGTTCCCAGCTCCCTCTGCCCCGCCTCCCTCCAAACCACCACAAGAAACCCACCTCGGTCTCGCTGATGAACTTCTTGTTGCCGCCGCCCAGCAGCTCGGCGAGCGCGGCGCCCTCGGCCGCCGCCGCCTTTCTGATCTCTGTAGGGAAGACTGAGGCGGCATCCCGCCCCAGCACAGCCTCCCGATCATAGTACCGCTCCTCCCTGCATCCGGTGGCGGGACGAAAGGATGAGGGCAGGGCGCTGTGGGCCGAGAGCGGCGCCAGCAGGCGGGAGCAGGGCGGCGGGAGGAGCGGCGGAGGGCAGACCTCATGGCGGCGCTGCTGCGGCCTCACCTGGGCACCCGCACCAGATCCACGGGCTTCCTGTCCATGTTTCGGCAAGCTGCTGCACAGATGGTGCCTATAGGGCCTCTTCAAGTCCTGAAGCAGGCTCTGCGGATGCAACTCAGATGTGCCGCTATCCAGGCTGCTTCAATTCCGCATGAGACTCAGCGGGGAAGGTGCACGGCAAAGGGTACCCTCATGAGGTCGTGGGCTCCCCCAAAAGGCGCCCCTTGCGGCACGAAACGCACCTATCGTGCAATAAATACCCTCACAGTCCGCTGTGTTCACCGCAGGAGGTCAACCCAGCTCCCTGCTCCGCCAAACTCGGCTCCTCGGGCCCCATTTGCACTCGGCAGGGCAGGGTGAAGTTATCCCAGTTTCCTGTGACGGATCGGCACCGCACGGCGGCAGCTGGAGTTTGCCGGCAGCAGGCGTCGGTGGCGGCGGCGGTCGAGTGGCAGCGGCACGAGCGGCGTTCGTCGGTTGCTGCCAGCCAGCGGCGCAGCCACTGGTTGCCATGGCGCGCAGCGTGCTGGATGACCTGGGCGAGGAGGTGGGGCCTGGGCGTGCGGCGGTGCTGCCCGGTCCTGATGCCGCTGCCGCACCGCCTCACGGGGCCGGCGCCTCCCTGCGACGATCCCCACCCTGCCAACACTTGTGGGTGCTGCGTGTGGGTGCAGGTGACGGGCATTGTGGCGCCCGTCAGCATCTGCATGGCTATCACCCTGGCCCTGGTGCGCGCCTAGCTGCGGCTGCGGCTGGCGGCATGCCCTGCCATGGCAGCCGCACAGGCTGCACCACGCTCGTGCTGTGGCTTTGGGCACCTCCCTCCGCGCATGCAGCACGCCCAGCACTTGCGCATGCACCAGATCACCAGCTCCCGTGCCACCCAGCTGTATACTAGTACACACACACACACACACACACGCCTGCCTGCAGGTGCGCATCCTCAACCCCGAGGGCGACTCAGACTCCAACAGCGTCTTCCTGGCCTCGGCATACTATGTGGAGCAGGTGGGGGGGTGGGGGGTGCGTGTTCTGGTGGGGGGGATGGGGGTGTGCTGGTTGGTGTGTGTGGCTGTGTGAAGTGCGTGGTGGTGGCTGTGTGTGTGGCGGGGGGGCTGGGGCGAGGTGCCGTGGGGAGGTGCGGTGGCGGGTGTGCGGAGCCGTGGGCAGGTGGGCGCGTGTGGCCCGACGGGAGCCTCTGGCAGCTGGGGTGTCGAGGGGAGCCTGGCCTGGCCGCCACCCCGCCCCGCCTCGCCTGCCCCGCCTGCCGCGCAGGAGGGCGACAGCCCGGGCCAGAAGCTCAGCGGCGCCGTGGTCAACGCGCTCATCTTTGTGGGGGTGGTGGCGGCCATGACCTTTGCGCTGGTCCTGCTGTTCAAGCATGGGGTGAGCTGAGGGAGGGAGGGAGGGAGTGTGAGGAGGGAGGGATGTGCAGGTGCAGCAGGGCGCGAGGGGCGAGGGGCGGCCGGGGCGGCGGCCACCTGGTCGTGTGGCGGGCAGGGCCTGCAGGGGGTGCGGGTCCGTGCCCCAGTGCTGTGCCATGGCATGGGCACGCAACACAACGCAACGTAATGCAAAGAAAACGTAATGCAACGCAATGCAATGCAGTACGTGCGAGTCATCTATGCGTACATGGGCTTTGCCGGCTTCAGGTGAGCCTGGGGCGCACCACCAGGCGGCGCCACCTGCCTGGCCACGCCCGCCCACCCACACGCCACGGGCTGCCGCTCCCCGCACGCGCTCTCCACCCCCCTCCACACACGCCCATCCCTCCCGTCACCTGCCCCCTCCCATGGCCGCCCCGCAGCATCTTCTTCGTGCTCACCGGCCTCATCTCCATCCAGCTGCTCCAGAAGGCCGCCATCCACACAGACTTCATCACCTTCACCTACATACTGCTCAATTTTGCAGTGAGTTGGCGGGGGAAGGGCGGGGGGGTGGTGCGCCGCCAGGGCACGCACGGTGTCGCCGCTTCATTGGTTGGTCGCTTGTTGGAGCCCTGTCCTGCTCCGCCCTGCGCTGCCCTGCCCTGCCCCGGCCCGCCCCGCGCTGCCTGCCCTGCCCTGCCCTGCCCTGCCCTGCCCCGCCCTCCCTGCCCTGCCCTGCCCCGCCCCGCCCTGCCCTGCCCACCTCGCTGCCAGCGCCGCCACCACGGTCAGGTGCACTGCCCATGCGCCCAACACCCGCACACCCCACACCCTCCGACCCGCTGTGCCCCGCCCCGCAGGCGGTGGGCTCCCTCACCCTCTTCTTCTTCCCGGCGCCGCTGCTCATGAAGCAGTGCTACCTCATCGTCACAGGTGGCGCTAGTGACCTGGCCGCCTGGCCTGGGCCTGGCATGCGCCTGCACCTGACCTGGCCTGAGCGTGTGCCTGGCCGGGCATTGGCCCCTGCACAGCCTCGGCAGCAGCAGCGCCGCCGCCTGCCACGGCACGCGCACCTGAGCCCGCCCTCCGCACACATCACACATGTGCTCACCACATCGGGTCATCCTGTGCCCACCCGCCTGTCCCCCCACCACAGGCGTTGTCACCGCCTACGTCTTCACCTGGATCCCGCCCTGGACCACCTGGACCCTGCTGGTGGCCATGGCGGTGTACGATGTGGTGGCGGGTGAGGCGAGGCAACAGCAACGAAGGAGGGAACGAAGAAGAAAGGGTGGAATGGGCCTGCCTGCCGCGATCGCCGTGCTTGCCGCTGGCATGCGGGCGCGGGGGGCCGCGCTGTTGCGCTGGCCGGATCGTATCATCCCTCCCACCCTCCCTCCCCTCCCTGCTCGCAGTGCTGGTGCCGGGCGGGCCGCTCAAGATGCTGGTTGAGCTGGCGCAGGAGCGGGAGGAGGCGCTGCCTGCGCTGGTGTACGAGGCGCGGCCCGTGAGGCGCCAGCCTTCGCAGCCGCGCTCCCAAGAGGGAGAGGGAGAGGGCCGGCCAGAGGGCGGCAGTGCCGCGGGGCTGGGCGACACAGAGCTCCCGCCCCGGCCGGCGCCGCCGCCGCAGCAGCCGCAGCCGGCGCCGCAGCCGCTGCTGCAGCCTGGTGAGAACGCCGTGCCGTCTGGCAGCGGCAGGGGTATTATCCACCCTGGCGGCCGCCTGCGAGCGGCAGCAGGGGAGGTGGAGGTGGAGGTGGAGGCGGAGGCAGATACGCAGGCGCTTCTGGGGCCTCCTGCCCAGAGAGGGGTGGGGGTGCCTGGCCAGTCTGGCGGCTACGGCTATGCTGCTGATGAGGATGATGAGGATGAGGATGCCTTTGCGCTGCCAGACAGCATCAAGCTCGGCCTGGTGAGGCGTGGCGGCGTGGCGGTGGCGGGGTGCTGCCTGCCGCTCGCACCGCGCTGGCGTGGGGCCCGGGCCAGAGCCTGGCCCCGCGGTTGCGGCTCCTGCTGCCGATCCGCTGCGCAGCGCTGCGTGGTGCAGCCCCCGGCGCAAGACCTGCCGCTCCTTCCCGCCGCTCTCCCTCCTCTGCTGCTCGCCACTCCGCACCGCTGCTCCAGCCTGCGGCGTTTCTCTATTGCACCCTCTTGCCCTGCCGCTCCTCCTCCCTGCTGCTGCCTCATCGTTGCTATTGCTGCCCCCTCCTTACCTCCCTCCCTCCCTGCCCCTCCACCCAGGGCGACTTCATCTTCTACTCCATCTGCCTCAGCCGGGCCGCGTTCTCGGGCTGGGCCGCCGCCTTTGCCACCTACCTGGCCATTCTGGCGGGTGAGCAGCCTCCCTCTGGGCTGATGCTGCCGCGCGTGGCGACGGGATGGATCTGGGCAGGGACCACCCTGGCCGCTGCCTGCTCCGCCTGCCTGCCTGCTGCCCCCGTGCCCGCTCGCCTGCCCCACCCCTGCTCCTGCGCTCGCCCCAACTGCCTGACTTTTGGCCCGTCTCCCGCCCGCCCCCCCACACCCCCCCCCCCACACCCCCCGCCCGCAGGCCTGGGCTGCACGCTGCTGTGGCTGGCGGTGGCGCGGCGTGCGCTGCCCGCGCTGCCCATCTCCATCGCCCTGGCCGTCGCCTGCTTTGTGCTGGCCAAGGCGGTGATGGAGGCGGTGGTGCTGCCCGCCAGCCTGGCGCTCGTCTACTTCTAGCTAGCGTGGCCATTATAGGGGATGCGCTAGAATATATTCGCTAGAGGATGGCGGGCATGTTGCACTGTAACTCAGGCCGCAGGAGGGCCGCGGGGGCGAGGCGCGGCAGGCTTCAGCGCCCGGGGGGTCGTCGGCGGCGGGTGGCCAGCGCGGTGCGCAAGCCCTTGCCAGGCAATTTCAAACTGCTGTATTGATCTCCCAGCACCGTTTAGCAGCCATTTGGGTGAATTTAGGGGGTCGAATCGGCGGTTCCAGACCATGTAACATGCCGTTCATGGCGGTACGCCACGGCTTGTACCTCCAGCCGCGTTGGGTCCATTTTGCGGCATTTCGGGCCCTGCTCGCCGCTTTGTTTGGCTCGGAAACTGACTACTAGCGTGTTGCCGCATTGGACACCCATCCCAAGGGGCCAAGCGTCAACATGGAGCACATGAAAGGCCCGGAGCCCCCTAGGCAGCGTGTTGGGACGCAGGAGGGGTCCCAGGGCGGCGACGACATCTTCCGACAGTCTCTCCTGCGATATGTCGCATTCACCAGTGAGTGACATCTGCCGCCTGCAACATCTAGCGATGGCGCCGCCACCGACCCTGACCTTGCCACCGACCCCTGCTGTGCTGTGCAGGTGATGTGGGAGAGGCATTCAAGCCCTTCATCTCGCGCAGGCTATACCTGGGAAGGTGAATGTCGCGCCTGCAAGTAAACACAAGGCCTGGGCGCCCCTAACCGCGCCGCCCCTCGCCCGCGGCCCCCCCGCTGCTGCAGCTGTGCAGTGGTAGCGCTGTATGGGCTGGCAGACACGCTGGACAAAGGGTGGCGCGCCCATGAGCGGGCCGCCGCAGCGCGCAAGCCCACGCCAGGTCTGGCCGTGCCGCCCCTGGCTGGCGCCGCCGCGGCGGCGGCGTCAGCAGCGGTCCCCGCAGCCCCTGCACAGACCCCGCCCATGCCGCTGGCCTCGCTGACAGCCGCCGTCCGGAGCCGGTCGTCTTCGGGAGCTGCAGCAGCGTGTGCCGCCTGCCTGCCGCCCGCCGCCGCCTACCACGCCACCAGCATCAGCGAGCAGCGGGCGGCGGCGGTGCCGGTGGCGGCGGCGGTGCTCGACGCGGCGCTGTGGCACTCGGCCGCCTCCCTGGCCATCCCAGCCGTCGCCATCAACAGGTGCCTGCTTAGGCTCGGCTTGGCTGCTGCTTGCTTTGCTTGCTTTGCGTGCTGCTTGCTTGCTGCTGCGCCAACTGCTGCTTGCCTGCTGGGCATGGCCGCATCCCATGCTGCCCGCCGCCGGCGGCGGCTCCGTTGCATGCCCTTCCTCACCGCACCCTCCCACAAGCCCACCGGAACCGCTGCCGCCACCTGTACCCGGGTACCGCAGGACGGTGTGGGCCACGGGGAAGCTGCTGTCCCGCGGCGCCTGGGCCGCCGCGCTGCACCCGCGCCTGCGCCAGCTGGTGCCCTCTGCCGCCGGCCTGGCCCTCATCCCGCTGCTGGTGCCGCACATCGACGAGGCGGTCACGGGCTGGATGGACCAGCACCTGCGGCCGCGCCTGCCGCAGCAGGTGGGCATGCCTGCCCGCCGGGGGCTCCATGCAGGGTTCCCTGAAGGGAGGGGGATGCATGGCGGTGCAGCCGTGTTACAGTCACCCCGCTATGATAGGCAGCGTGAGCAGCTACCGCCAGGTGTGCGCCTTGTGTGGCCTGACCCCACCCCCGCTGAGCGGTGTTGGCCTGGGTCGTTGATGTTGCAGGAGGCAACGGCCGCTAGCCCGAATGATGCACACCGCGAGGCCCTTCCGCAGTAACCCTGGCTGCGAGCAATGCCCGCCTTGGTGCTGGCAGGGCCGCCCTGTGTCAGCCAGCCAAGCATCATTGCTTCCAATCGGCGGCGCCAATGAGCCCAATGCCCCGTTACTACCCTCGATTCAATTGACATTTGTGATCTTATGCTAACCTTGTGATCCTGCAACAGTGAAGTACCTACCTATTCGTCTGCCTAACCCCCTTTGCCCCTGTCTCCAATTCCCTGATTTCATCAATCCCCTTCACCAATTCCTGCCAGTGTGCCAACCACCACGCCTGTGTACTGCCCTACCCCTGCGGCCCGCACACCCCATGCAATTATCACCCTGCCTGGTAAGCCAACTCATCTTGGTGGCCCTGAAAGTTACATATCGGAACAAGCGAGCCCGCCATGCAGCTGATGAGGGTGCAAGAAAGGAGTGGGGTTTACCAGGTTAGCAACAGAAGGAGGAAGGGACATTCATGGTTGGCAGGTTTGGATGACGTAGCGGGTTGCGAAGGGCGGCCCTCAATCAAGGGTTGGCGATGAAGCGAACAAACGCAGGCAAGGGTAAGCTAGTCAGGCAAAGCACGATGAGGCAAATTGAGTCAAGCATTGTGCGAGGGTTAATCAAGTCATTTCATTGTCGAAGGGGTCGGTAAGGGAAGGCCGGTAAGGGGGCGCATCTGTGGCAGCGAGGTTGGGTTTCTACTGAAGCTAGGTGGGCGCTCGTGACAAGGGGTGAATACGAGCAAGTTAGAAAACTGCAAGCTGCGGGAAGGCATCGGGGACCAGCACAAAAGCAAAACTAAGGTTGTCAGCAGAGTTGGGAGAACGTAAACGAGGGGGCGGCAGGGACGCCGGACACCTGCCAAGCCCTAGGCAACCGCGGTGGCGGAGGAGCAGCCGAGCAGCAGTTGCAGGCGGAAGTCGGCTCCTTCCTGCTGCTCGCAGGAGGCGGCTGCAGACGCGAGCAAGGTGTGGCAGCGGGAGCAGCAGGCTGTGAGGCCAAGGGGAAGGATTGCTTGACCGGCAGGCAGCTGGAAGCAAGTTGCTGCCACTCACCCTTGTTTTGCACCCGGGATGCACGAAGCTCGCCATTGAAGCTACTGCTGCTGGTGTCCTTGCCCAGGCCAGCTGGGCGCCTGAGCAGCAGCGGATCTGCCGCCAGGGCGTCCGCCAACCGCCGGCTGGCTTGCTGCGGCAGCAGCATGCTGACAGAGATGGTGCAGCCTCCATCGTCGGCTGCGGGAGGCGACAGGTGCACCCAGAGCAGCACTGCCGCCGCTATTTCAGAGCCTGCAGGCCAAGGCATCAGCGCCAGGGCAGCAGCAGGCAGGCAGCTGTTGGCGGTAGCAAGAGCCAACCGTGGGACGGCTGGGCTTTAGGCAGCCGTCTGCAATCAACACAGTGCTGCAGCAAGGGAACCTGGCAGCTGCCCACAAAGTGTTTACACGTACATCACCCATCTCCCTCCTCACCTGAGGCGGCGCTTGCGCCCCGCACCAGCGCCCGCAGGAAGGGCTGCTGCGCTTCCCCCGCCAGCTGTGCAGCCTGCTCCCTGCCCGCCGTCAGCAGCATGGAGACGTTCCAGAGAGGCTCGCGCAGCTGCGCCATCCCCGCTGCTCTTGCTCCTGCTGCTGCGGGGGCTGCTGCAGCAGCCACCAGGGGGGCGCCAGCCTGCAGGTACCTTCGCCCACCGCTGCCATGAACGATGCCACCAGCAGACGCATGGCCGCCCATGGGTGACAGCGACAGCAGTGCCAGCAGCGCCACTCCCGCCAGGGCTGCCAGGACTATTTGGCTGGTGCTGGGCCGGGCTGCCCTGGCCGACAGCGGCGCCCAGCTACCGTTGGGCTCGTCCGCAGAGTCGCCGCCACCCAGCTGCCCAAACAGCCGCCGTTTGGCGCTGTTGGATCGGGATAGCGTGGCCCACTCGCCGTCCTGGGCTGCGGCAGGGTCGTGAAATGGATGCCTGGCGTGAGTGGCCAGCTGGGCTGCAGCCCCAGGCAGCGCGACAGGGCAGGCGGTTGAAAGCGAGTCGCACGCGGGCGGCGGCGGAAGGACCGCCGCCGGCTTACCATGCACCTCCTCCCACCACGGCGGCTGCTGCGCGGTGTTGGCGCCATGGAGGAGGGGGAAGGCTGGCGAAGGGTCTGCTGGGGGGGTCTGCGGGCTATGCCCAACAGTGGGTGCCGAGTTGTTGGGCGCCCCGCCGAAGAGCGCCCGCATCCCGTAGCACTTTGGCGGGCGCGATCACCCCGTAAACAATCGCCGGCGCTTGGGGATCGCGGCTGCTCCTGCACGCTGTTGCGGAGGTTGGTTGGGCTGTCGGCCGGTTTTGCCGCTTTCGTCGATGAATGGAATTGCAGTGGTGTACCAGACGCGATCAGAAATGAGCAGACGCGTGTAGACGGGCAGGGAGGCCGACCATGTTTTTGGGCGCCCATGCTTCGTGCGCTGCCGCCATGGCGGTGGCGCGCCACCGCCGGCTTCCCACCTGCAGCCACATCCTGCCTCCCCACTAGGCGGCCACCACAAATCTGCTGGAACCTGCCCAAGCTGGGCAGCTGGCAAAAGCAAGTGCTGGTGCTTACAGCAAACGCGCCGCCGGCCGGCATCAGCCATTGGCTTGCCACGCAAACATGGACAAGGGAGCGCAAAGAGCGAAGTGTAGCCTGAACACCCAACTGCGCAGCCGCAGCAGCAGCTGGAATGGTGGCAGCAGGTGCCGCATGGCATGCAGGGCGGCAGGCTGGGCCAGGCCGAGGCATGTGGCCGTGCCATCCACGTTGCTGCCGGTGGCTGCTGCTGGAAACGTCGGGCCGTCTTCACTTGAGCTTAGCGAACAGGGGCTTGGCTGCGCACTTGTCTACGCAGTGCCAGTAATCAAAGTACTGGCCGGTGCAGTGCGCCTCGCCGCTCTCATCCTTCTCCACCCGCTCCGCACAAGCCTGCAGGCAGAAGGGCGGCCAGGGAGGAGCCGATCAGGAGCCTGAATGGTCAGTGAAGGTAGGTGACTTGAACACGAATGCAGGGGTGCACTGCAGCCGCGCAGCCAGTAAACTGCAGGCCCAGACGCAACGGCGGCAGGCGGTGCGCCGGGCCGTTGCCGCCCCCGCCCTCGCACGGCAACCCTCCCCCGCCACCCCTGGGCACCACTCGCAGCAAGCTGCACAGGTGAGGGGCCCGGGTGTGGCCTGCAGCCCCGCAACCAGGCGCTCACCTGGTACTCTAGCCACGCCTTCACGCACTGCGGCTTGCACGACTCCTCCACCTCGATCTGAGGGTTCACTACCTCCTCCTCCGCCATCGCTGGGTCTGGGGGTAGCAGGCGGTGCGAAGGGTGCGAGGGCGTGCCTGGCGGGCCAACCCTAGTCCAGCACTGCGATGCAGGCGCCCGGCGTCACCAGGAGGCAGCGATCAGCGCATTGGGCGGGGTGCTGGCCGAGCCTATTCGGCAGGACGGCACAGAAGTACACTCACGTGTACTGCATTGGCTCATGAACGTCTCCGATGGCCGTTGGCGGGCCATTGACCGGTCTGCAAGACGCACGGATACTATCGGGCAGCGCGACTTCCCCTTTCGACCCCACACCGCTCATCGGCTTCGATCACCTCGCCCCTGCCCACGCCAGCGCGCCCAGCGGGGCCCGCCAATGAAGGAGGACATGGAGCAGGCCGACTCCAAGGCGGCGGCCATCGATCAGGAGAAGGTGGACAGCGAGGTGGCTGGCTTCCGCGAGCTGGCCAAGGCGCAGCGGCAGGAGGCGATCGACGGGCTGCTGGGGCTGGAGAAGCAGGGGCGCCTGGCGGAGGACATTGTGACCACCCGCAAGGCCTGCACCGCCCTGCTCGAGGTTCGCGCCGCCGACGATCGCCTGGCCTTGGTTTCAGCGTCCTCAGCTGCCCACATGCGCCGCCTCGCTCATGGCGTGACACTCCAGTCAGTGCATGGCTCGCTGCCCGTGAGCTCCCAGCGCCAGCAGCCCGGCCACCGTTGCCCTCTTGCGCGGCTCCGCCGCCGGCTCGCGGCGGTTGTCGCCTGTTGCTGGCTGGCTCTCCTGTGCTGCCTCGCTGCCGCGACCTTCGCCCCGCCGCTCCGCTGCAGGTGCTGTACGATGCCCGCGACTGGAAGCAGCTGCAGGAGTATGTGGTCCTGCTGTCCAAGCGGCGCAGCCAGCTGAAGCAGGCGGTGACGGGCATGGTGCGGCAGTGCATGGGCTACATCGCAGATGCCCCCGACAAGGCAAGGCGGCAGAGGCTGGGCGTGGGTGGTAGTGCGGGGGGGTAATGAGGGAGCTGCGTTGCATGTGCGCTGGGTGGTGGGCTGGCTGGGGTGCGAGGCTGGCTGGCCAGTGGCTGCACTGCCCGTGCCCTTGCGCCCTGCGCTGCGCTGCCCGTCTTGCCAACCCGCCTGCTCTGCCTGCCCGCCCGCCCCGCCTGCGCGTGCAGGAGACCAAAACCGAGCTGATCAAGACTCTGCAGGCACTCACAGAGGGCAAGGTGGGCGAGCGAGGGCTGTAGGCGCCCTGGGGTGGCAGGGCAGCGCTGCCTGCGAGCTGGCTGGCGGGTGTGAGCACGCGTCTGCCACACTGCCCGCTGGGTCTCCACCCCCCTGGCGGCCTTCCCACCTGCCCATGTGCCACGCCACGCCACGCCACCGCCAGACACATCACGTGCGTGCACCCGAAAGCACACACACTAACCTACCTCACGCCCCCCCCCGCAGATCTATGTGGAGATTGAGCGGGCGCGGCTGACGCGGCAGCTGGCACGCATGCACGAGGAGGAGGGCAAGGTGCAGGAGGCGGCAGAGATCCTGCAGGAGGTGGCGGTGGTGAGTGGCGCCCGCCCGCGCATGCTAGCATGTATGCGCCTGCGCCGGCCGCGGCCGCGCCGGAGCATCTGCATCACACCGGCGGCAAGTGGTTGTTGCTAGCCTCGCGCCCTGCCTCGCCGTGCCCAGCCCTGCACTGGCCCAGCATACCGACCGCCTTTCCCATGCCCTGCCTCCTGCCCCGGCCCCGGCCTCCACGAGCAGGAGACGTTTGGGGCGATGGCCAAGAGCGAGAAGGTGGCGTACATTCTGGAGCAAGTGCGGCTGTGCCTGGACCGAAAGGACTTTGTGCGGGCGCAGGCGAGTGATCTGCGTGGCGCGCTGCCCTCGCTGCGGCACGTGCGCTGCTCGGCGTGTGGGCCTGCATCACGGACGGGGCATGCGCAGGCGGCGCTCTCGCATGTTGACTGCCGGATGACGGCAGACGGCTGCCTTTGTGCGTGATTCACTTAGCTCTGCCTCCTCTGCCCGCCGCCGCCTTCACGCCTCCCGCCCCGCAGATTCTGTCCAAGAAGATCTCGCCCCGCGCCTTCACGGCGCCCGAGGGCGGCAAGAAGGGGGAGCAGACGGGGGAGATTGGCATCGAGGGCACCGCCATCGAGGAGCCAGAGGAGGTGGGTGTGGAGGCGGTGGGGTGGAGCCGGTTGGGTAGAGCGCCCTCCAGCCTGGATCGGCAAACACCAATTTTAAACAAAGAAAATTCAGAGAGAAACAAAACAATAAAACACAGCACCCCCACCCCACATGCTCTTCCTCTCCCGCGCCCCGCAGGGCACCCCCAGCCTGGAGGCCCTCAAGCTGCTCTACTACTCCCTCATGATCCGCTTCCACCAGCACGAGCGCAACCACCTGGAAGTGTGCCGCTGCTACAGGTGGGGTGGGCGGCGGTGGCGGTGGTGGTGGTGGCGGGGTGGTGGTGGTGGTCGTGGTGACGGTGGTGGTGTGTGTGTGCGCGTGTGTGTGTGGGCGTGTGTGGGTGTGTTGGAGGGTGCACGGTGGGCGGCGGTTGCGACCACGGGGGGCGTGGTCGTGTGGTGTGGGTGGGTGTGGGTGGAGGAGAGGAGGCAGGCCGCATCAGGGGGCTGCTGCCATCTCCTCCCTCAGCCGCCGGCCTGGTGCTGACCTGCTGCCTGCCTGCCTGCCTGCCTGCCTGCCTGCCTGCTGTGCGCAGGGCCGTGTACGACACGCCATCCATCCAGGAGGACGCCGCCAAGTGGCAGGACATGCTGAAGAAGATCTGCTGGTGGGCTGCTGGGCGGTGGTGGTGGTGGTGTGTGGTGGTGTGTGGCGGTGGGGGAGAGAAAGAGTGTGTGTTGGCTGGTTGGTGTGCGAGGCAGACTGGGCCAGGAGTCTGGCGGCTCGTGGGGTGCGTTGCGCTGTTGGGTGGCCAGCAGGAGCTCAGCCTTTGTGCGGTGTTGAGAGTGTTGGAGACGCATTCATATGGCTGACCGCCTAAAGCAGAGCCTAGCCTGCCTACCTGCCCACCCGACCCACCACCCTCGGTGGTACAATGGTACGACATGTTTGCCGCCTCTGCCGTGCAGGTACGTGGTCCTGGCGCCGCGGGACAGCGACCAGATCACGCTGCTGGCCACCACGGAAGCCGATCGGAAGCTGGAGGAGCTGCCGCTGTACCGTGACCTCCTCAAAAAGTTCAGCAGCAAGGAGGTGGGTGGGCGGGCAGCGGAAAGAGGTGCAGCAACCTTTCCCTGTGAAGCAGCGGCGCTGCGGTGCGCGGCCGGCGCATGCCACGCACCGCCTCCCGGCTCGTGCCAGCCTCTCCGCCTGCCCTCGCCTGCCACCAGCTGCCCCGCGCTGTTGCCTCCCGCTTGCAGGTGCTGTGGTGGAAGCATGTGGAGAGCGAGTATGGGCCTGAGGTGGAGGCGCAGGCAGAGGTGTTTGGAGGGGAGGAGGGCGCGCGGCGGAAGGAGGGTGAGCATGGGAACGGGCTGGCTAGGAGGCTGGCTGCGGTGGCGGCTGGGCTGGCAAGGCGGGGCCTGGGCAGTCTGGGGAGGCCCGCTGGAAGGCCCGCTGCCGCTCCATTCAGGGCTGTTGCCATGTCAAACCCCTGCTGGTGCCCTCGAAAAGTGCCTCCTCACCTCCCCCTGCCCGCAGACTTCAAGCTGCGGGTCATCGAGCACAACCTGCAGGCCAGTGCTGCGCCTTGTGCTGTGCCGCTTGCTGTGCACGCTGAGCCTGCTCCTCCCCCCGCTCCTCTCTCCCCAGCCATCCCTGACCCGCCTCCAACCCTCTTCTCTCCTCCCGATTCCCCCAACCCTCCCAACCCTCCCAATCCGCCACCCGTGTGCAGGTGATTGGCGGCTACTATGCCCGCATCACCCTGCAGCGGCTGGCACAGATGCTGGACCTGACACCGGACGAGGTGAGTGTGTGTGTATGTGGTGGGTGGGTATGTGTGTGGGGGCGCGCGTGTGTGCGGTAGGGTGTGAGCCTCAGTGGTGGGAGGAGGCAGAGGGGGTGATGCTGGAGGGCAGCGCGAGGTCGGCTGGAGGAGAGGCCCGCCGCTTGGCCGCCGGCCCCGCCTCCACCCAGGTCGCCCAGCAGGCGCCACCCCCACCCTGCGGCATCCCGCGGCCTGCCCCCTGCGAGCCCGCAGGCCGAGAAGCACCTGTCTGACCTGGTGGTGGGCGGCAGCCTGGCTGCTAAGATCGACCGCCCCGCCGGGATCATCCGCTTCAGCAAGCGCGCGTGAGTGTGGGGGTGGTGCGGGTGCGCGCACGCCTGCGTGCTTGCGGTCAACCGCGGCTGGCTGTGGGAATTGCGCGGGGCTGCTTCTGCTGGCTGCCTCACAGCGGGGAAGGGAGGGGGAGCGCTGGCACGGCCTGCGGCACATTGCCCCAGCCCCGATCCCCTGCTGGCCTCACCCGCCCGACCCTACCACCTGCCTGCCGCGCGGCCTCCTCATCCCCGCTCGCCGCTCCCCGCCTTGCCCCACCCCCCCGCAGCGGCGCCTCCGAGGCGCTCAATGGCTGGAGCGGCAACATCGGGCGGCTGCTGGTGCTGGTGGAGAAGACGTGCCAGCAGATACAGAAGGAGTCTATGGTGCATCGTGTGCCCATCGGGGTGCAGGCGTGAGGCGGGACGGCGCCGCTGGCTGGCCGCCGGAGGCGGCGGGCAGGGCCTGGCTGCAGCGACCCGAGCGCCGGCCCGTCCGGCCTCAGATGCACGCCAGTGCCGGCTGCACCTGTCTGTGTAAGGAACCGCGGCATGCGCGGCATGCTTCAGACCCCACGGCCATGTCGTGCCCGGTCTGCACCATGGCGAGCCTGCTGGGCTTCTCCTGCCGCGTATGCATGGAGGGATGAGCATCCAAATCTGTTCCAGGTTTTGAGCAAGGCAAGGCTGAGAGAGCGGGCCCAAGGAAGTGAAAACTAGGGAGGGCCGGGGCTGCGGCGCTCTTAGAAGCGGAAGAGTCACGCCGCGGCGCGCGCCCGCCGCGCCGCCTTGCACGCCGCCTTGTGGGTCTGCCAGTGCTGGTGCTGGCAGGCCTCGTCGCAGTATGACACCAGGCGGCAGGAGCAGCGCTGCAGCCTGGCTCCCTCGCCGCGGCTGGCGCCGCACGCCGCGCAGCGCCTGCCCCTCCCATCCGCCTCGCCGCCAGCCGGGTCCCGACAGTCCAGCGCAGCAGACAGCCTGGCCATGGTGGCCACCAGGCCTGGGTCCGCCACACCGCCGCCTGGCTGCTCGACGGCGGCCCGCAGCTCCTGCTGAACTGCTTGCTGCATCTGGGGCATCAGCAGCTTGGCGACAACCGTGCCCACCCTGGCGCCGCCGTCCGGGCCGGGGGCGTTGGCCGCTGTGATCAGCAGCCCAGCCAGGCACCTGCTGTCGAGGCCCTCGCTTGCGTCCACACCCAGCTCGGCCAGCGCCGCGCGCAGCGGCCCAGAGCCTGCTGCCTCCAAGCGCTGCAGGAACCGGAGCCTGCAGGCGCCGGCGGCGCCGGCCGCGGCGGCGCCAGCAGCCGGAGATGACCCGCTGGCGGCGTCGGGGTCTGGCAGGCGCCCCATCATCATGCGCTCTGTTGCCTCGAACATCCTCACCTCCTCCAGCAGGCTCCTGAGCCACTTGGCCAACGCCGCGTTGCGCCCCCTGCAGCAGCGCCGAGGTGCGGACTCGAGCCCTGGGTGCGGCCTGGCACGCAGCGCGCCGGCCGAGCAGCGGCGCCGCGCCGGCATCGCCACCGGCAGCCGGCGGGATGGCAGGAGGCCCTCCAGCCTGGTTGCATGCATGTGTGTATCAGCAGGGGGTGCGCACCCCGGCGCGAAGCAGGCGTGGCCAACCAACCGCTCCATGACAGGCGCGGCGCCCGCTCGCATCAGCGACAGGCTCATGAGCGACGCCTCCTCCGAGTCAGGTGGGAGAAGCGGGTAGAGCAGGCGCACCATCTGCGCCTGCTGCTCCTGCACCCCAGGCAGGCGCGGCATCCCCAGCGGCAGCGCGGCGAGCGGCCCGGGGTGGCCGGGTCAGGCGGGGGGGCGTGCCATAGTGCATATACACACAGTGCATATAGAGCTCTTCAGCGCCCTCGTGCAACACACGCATGGGTGGGATGGGAGGTGCAGGCCCAGCAGTGAAGAAGAAGGGAGCGGGGCGGGAGGTACGGCCCGCAAACGCCAGTACACGCCGCCACCGCACCTCGTCGGCGCCGTCCAGCAGCTGCACCAGGCGGCGTGCCAGGGGCGAGCTGCCCGCGATGCAGGCCTCCAGGCGCCGCAGCGCAGAGGCGTCACCGCTGCCCAGCTTCAGGGTGCCGCAGAGGCATGCCAGCAGCCTGCACGCCAGGGATGACACTCACGCATGCCATCACTGGGCTCCAGATTCCGAAGAGGCACCAGCCTGTGCCCCTGCTGCTGCTGCTGCCGCCGCAGCGGCAGGCAAGCGGCTGGTGCCGCGGGGCAGGGGTGGCTGCCAGCAGCGGCAGCAGCCGGAGCAGCAGCGGCGGCAGCTGCAGAGGCAAGGCCGGCAGTGGCAGCAGCAGGGAGGGCCTCCAGCTCACGTGACCAGCGTCCACGAGTTGTAAGCCTGGTGCGGTGTGGCTTCAAAGCTGGAAAGAAGCAGGGCTGGTGTGCACCAACGGGTGAGCGGGAGCAGCAGCAGGCGGGGCGGGCCTCCCAGGGCAGGCGCTGAAAGGGGGGCAGAGGAGCTCAGGCAGGCAGGGCCCACATGCAGAGCAGTGCCAGGCCAGTGCGGTGCCCGCCGTTGCGCTTGCCTGGCCAGGCAATCCGCCACAAGCTCCACACCGCCGTGGCGGCATGCCGACCGCGAGGCCGCGATCACCGCAGGTGGCGGCTGCTCGCCGCCGCCGCACGAGGCACCTGCCGGCAGCTCCGCGCCGGCGGGCAGCGGCCCAAACGCTGCGCAAGGGAGGCACACAGCACTGCGCTTCAGACGGCGCCGCCACTGCCGCCGCCGCAGCAGCCACGTCGCGGGGCAACGCAGGCCTGCGTCGGCGGCGGGCCGGGGCTGCAGTGGCAGGGCTGCAGTACAGCTGCACAGTACAGCGGAACAGCCACCTGGCTGATCGACGACTAGCACCCAGATCACTTCGCAGCAGGCGCGGCGGGCCCGCGAGTCTGGGGGGTGCAGGGCGGCCAGGCGGCAGGCGTGCCGTACCGCCTCCTCCCGCTGCCGCACGGGCAGGCTGCAGGGGCGGCTGAAGGAGACGAGGTGCGTGGCGCAGGCTGTGGTGGTGCCCGCCGCCCAGCGCAGCACCTGCGGCAGGAGCAGGGCCAGCGGGGCGCGAATGATGTCGTCAGCCTGGCACACATCAGGCAGCGGCAGGCAAGGTTCCCTACCGGCAGGATGAGCTCCTGGTAGTGTTCTGCCACCAGCAGCCGATCGCCGGCATGCATGTCCAGCGCCTGAGAGGCCTCCAGGTAGGCAGCAATGAAGGCCTGCGGCAGGAAAACAAGGCAGGCTGCATGACCGAGCGCAGGCAGGCGCTGGCGGTCCAGCGGGTCGAGAGAGGCGGCACGGCGAGCGCACGGCGGCACGCGGCTGGCCCTGCGGCTTTGGC